CAATAGATAGACAAGATGTAATTTACGAAGAGAGACGGTTTCCCGGCGGGGAGCGGCAAATATGCTCCTCCAGGCCTCGTTTTGGTTAAGAGGCGAGACTTACTGACTTGCTTGATGAACTTACTTTTGGAGGTTACTCTTGAAACTTGCGCTTGATGAGTAAGATGTAGCCGTATTGCCTACGAAAAGTTTCTGGCGGAGATGCAAACACCCCTGTCGCGTTCTGGTTAAAAGCCGAAATTGAACCGGGCGAGTGTTGACTTGAGACTTTCAAGACCAAGCGGATAGCCGTCCTGGCAGCAGTGCTCCTGTTTCTGTTCTACAGTGTAAAATAACGTACAGTGTAAAGATGAGCCCGGCCGACGTCAACGCTTATTAAGATACGAGTCCTCCACTTCAGATGTCAAACCAAGTTAAGTGCTATTTTTTGTGTCAGAACTTTGATGGGTTTTTAATAACTTTTTCTTGGAAAGTAAAAACAAGCGTCGAATCTTAATTATTCTCAGGCTTTGAATTGTTTCCCTTTCCCTTTTAAATTACCAGACAAACTTAAGTTTTTTTATATGAATTTAAATGAAAAAAAAGGGTAAATGACAAATTGATGACTTCCCTTAGACTCTCAATGAGGTTAAGATTTTTTTCATTGTGATGTAATTGAATAAACTGATATTTAATCTGGAAACCTATTACAGTATGTTTTCTTTATATATTTAATATGTTTTTCCTATATTCTTTATATGTTTTTGTATATGTTTTCGATCCTCTCACGGCGCGGTCCCGGATGCCTTTTTTCACAACGCAAATGCTTTAAACGTTTCACTATACGATCACTAAAAGTTTGGGTAATTAGCAAAATTCTTAAGAGTTTAGTTTCCTCCCTAAGAGGAAGTAGAAACCTCTCACATATAGGAGTTTCTTATTTAACAATGGTACCTTGAAGTAAAGCTATATAACATTATTTCCCGGCGTGAGTTAAAGTAACATAACACTTAAGCCACAACGTCATGGGTTTGGCACACATTCCTGTCAGTTTGATGCAGTCAGAATCACGACGCATCACTCTACCCTTTTCCAACCGTCGATGGTTTAATGACGGTGTTCTGTGCGACACGCAAGATGTTGAGCTCAGTGTCGTGCAGTCAGAAGTGGTACTTTTATAGGTCTTTGGCTTCTGAACCCCATACGGTGAAGCAAGCGCTGCACTGTCCATCTTCAACTATAATGTGAGTTCGCCTAACTGTTTGCTTGGATCCCTTATTCCATTAAGCAGTAACCTGAACTAAACTTTGATGTCCCTGGCTACACACGATTCGACTATCTTCGAAGATAACGATCATTCAAAGCTGCCTTCTCTTGCAGTTTTCCCGATTATTATTTCTTTTTCTGCTATATGTATACTTTTGTTCACCCTTGATACTGTGAATGAGAAAAACTGTAATTCTCGAACTATTTCTGAAAATTAATAACCCATCCGTTCAGCACGTGTTATTTGTTTTCAATCGAAGGCAACTAAACTGCTAGTTAAACCCACCATCCTACTTTTCACAACTACGTAGAGAAGGTTACACTTCTAGTCATATGCATTAAAGTGCGACTCAATTAGAGATATCAAGTCAACAAAGAGTTGGGCCTCCTCTGGCCTTGATAATGGCTGCCATACGGCTAGTCATAGATTGAATAAGTTCGCGAAATAATTTTACGGTTTCCCGTAAAATCGGATAGAGCTGTTCATAATTTAGGAAGGATGGCTAGAGTTGTGTGATGTGGTTTCACACCTTTCTCCATAATAACAGAAAGGTGCTCAGTACGATTATGTCAGGGCTTCTACGTAGCCAATTCATGACAGAGAAGTCGAGGAATGCTCGTCCAACCAGGCAGTAGCCAACCGGGGCCTGTGAAAGATGCAGTTATCTTGCTGGAATACTCCATTTCCGTGTGAATGATATGATAACATAAATGGATTGAGATGACCTCCATCAACTCTGCGTACCAAATCATATTGAAGGAGGATGTATAGGTACCAAGGATCCAACACACTGCCAAGAAAAAACACCCCAGACCATGACTAAGCCGCCATAGCCTTGTACAGTTCTAACCTGGCTTGCAGGATCCATGGCTTCATGAGCCTTCCGTCAGTGTTAAGTAGTCGAAATAGAGACTCATCATTCCATGTTGATTGTTTCGAGTCTTCTAGGGTCCATTCTCTGTGTTCTCTTGACCAGGCAAGAGGTTCTGCTCGATGGCATGCATTGAGCAATGGTACTCTCGTGGGCTTCCGAAGCACATATGGTGAAACGAGAGTTGCACTATTCGTTTACTGACTATACAATTGGCTCCCTGATTCATGTGGGTGGTAATTTGAGCTAATGTTTGGCTTCGTTGATATGAACATTATGGCTGAACCGTCTCACACCACGCTCATTCAAGGCTGATTGTTATTTGTAATTTGCCCGATGGCTAGTATTTTCCCCCCACCATCCGCGTATTCTCGATATACTCTTGACACTGTCGATTTTGAAAATGCTAGTCCCCTAAAGATTTCGGGAACTAAATGGCCCCTGCATTCAGCGACTACTATTTATTCAGGATCGAAAGCGTCTAAATCAAAAGTTTTACCCATACTGGCAATTGAAACAGATGACAACAACCATAGTACTAGCTATGTATGCAATTACCACAACGCTCTCACTTAAGCATAAATGCGGCGAAGCATTACAAAATTTGCATAGCCATGTCTATCACTAATTCAGTGGCTTTTCAGTGTATATATTATGGCAGCTTTCTGACGTGCTCAGAAATAAGGCAGCAGCACCGTGATATTTGCCGTGATATTAGAAAGCATTTGCATAATGCTTTCTATCCCTAACTAAGTGGCACTTCAGTATATTATCTGAATAGTTTTAAAATGATAATTTTAGAACTGTTAATTGCTGTTCTTTTTTTGTACTTCTCCCAAAGTCTGTGAATTACAATCTATCATTTAAAACATTTTAAGCTTTTTTGGGGGGAGTATAAGGTTATAACCAGTATCTAGGGCTTCTCTTATTATTAAACGTTCAGGTTAATTTTCATTAAAATAGTCAGTCATTCTATGCACACGAACATATTTTAGACTCTTCTCTTCTCAACGAGTTCATTTTCTTTCTTTCTTTTTTACTTGAAGAATTTAATTATTATTATTATTGGGTTTATTAACACGATTATCCTGAATACTGAAATACGTTATATCAACATGTGTTTCCATCTCCAAAATGACAGAAATTATTTTTGTTTTACAATCTCGAGAAGTATTCTATAATACCTCGCGTTTGTTTCCTCGATTCTTACATCCATTAGAAAATTATCAATTAAGTATTCCTGCTGGAATAGTTTTTATATTACAGCCGATACTCGTTATAGCGAACATTGCATTAAAGACACTGGTGCAAAGTGTTCCTATTTGTTCGCAGCACTTTAAGTCCATTTTTAGCTTTAACGACCATCTTTACAACATTCGTTTATCTTACGATACAAGGATGTCGTTATAATGAACGTCAACTATATAATTTCTGTATAACGAGAATTGCTAATAAGTTATTCAAAACGCTGCTTCCCATTTTATATACATTAATCTTATTACTCCTAGAATTCGTTTAAATGTATTAATATGAAAAGTATGCATTTTTTTTATTCCGGTAGGAAGCAGAAAATTCTACGTTAGGAAATAACGTGTTTTCTATGCCGCATGGATTTCCTGTCTTTTCTGTTATCAGACTTACATGCAGTATTTCCTTTTCCTAATTTCAACACAGTGTTCATTGCTACGGTTTTTCACATTCATGTTTCGTAAGCTGGGTTACAAGAAAAGCAGTTTTCATTAATAGAAATAATTTTTCTACCAAAATATTAACACTTTTTTCAATCTGTTTGTTATTGGTATTTTATCAAACATTTTGTCAAGAGCAACGAAACGAATGTAATCTAATGATTCTCGAAATCAAGAGAATTTCATTAATGCTTCTGATGAAGAAGAACATATATCCGGTCCTCTCGAAATCGTAGAGTTTTGTTCAAAATCTACACCAATCTATGATTGTTCTTTTGCTTACTCCTAATATATTACTTCTTGGCTAGCTAGATTTAAGGAAATGTCTTAGAATTAAACAAAACAAAACAAAATAAAGAAAAAATAAAAATAAAAAAAAATCACATTTCGTTCTTTCAGCTGTCATACTATTTGTTGACAGAATACATCTCGAAGCTTCGAGATTTTAAATGATTCTTTTTTTGCTTTGTATGTCACTTAAAAAAGATATAGCATAATGATACAATATAATGGATGACTCAAAAAATCGCTTTTACTGTTTACTAAGTGTGAGTTTACAAGGTATTTCTCCCGCCTTCTTAGCATGCCTTCGTGGTGTAATGGTCAACACACTCGGCGCATATTCGACAGGTCCGAGGTTCGAGTCCCGGCGAGGGCATTGCTCATATTTCATGTCTCTTGCTTCGAAATAACCTAATGTCTTTACAAGTTCACATATTGTGGAAAAGAAAAATTTACTTTTTATTAAAAACATTCAACGCCTATCGCAATTTTTTACACTTTTGTGCTCATAGAATATTTCAAGTATAATACACATGTAAAGTTAGATATTATTTCGCTGATATTCTTTTTTCCGACAGAATGAATATTTTATTGTGATCCTTGCAAAATCGCTTCGTTGTAAAACTTTGGTTATCTCTTGTTTGTTGCTATTAAAATTTTTGGAGAATATTAATTAATCTCCCTTAAAAAAGGTTTCCACGAAGATAAATATTTCTTTGGTAGATAGCGGTCACGTGCTTTGCGTTAATTAAAACAACCAGCCAACCGCACCTTTAAAAAAAAACATTTTAAAACGTAAACATATGGAAAATAAATAGGAAGGTGATTAATGAAACCTGAATGATAAATTATGACGAATAAAAAATTGCATACAATTTTTTTAAAGTTCAAATAAAAACACAGGGAAATGACACAAATTGTTACCAATTTTTATATTACATTTTATTGTACACAATTAATGATTTTAGTTCTTTGCCTTATATTTTCTTTTCTACTTACTATTAGACTAATAAGTAGGACTAATCATCTTGTCTCGCTGCCTTAGTAAGTTTATATTGTACGCATACTGCCTATTTCCGTAATTCTTAAATTCATTGACTTCAGTACCAGAAGGATTAATGACGTACTACCACATCTACAGAATGACTTTTTTAAAAAATGATTTCTATTCTGTTTCTCCTACATTCAACAATAGTTTTTACAAAGGCGTACTCCAGTAGTCCTGTAATGGTTTTCCAGTTTTAGAAGTGATCCAATTAATGTACTTCCTAACATTTACATATACTCCTGGAACATCCGCGTGTCCACAATCCAATCCCCAGGACACCAACCCGGATACAGTGTAGGAATTGTCAGATCTGAAACAAACTAGCGGACCTCCTCCATCTCCTTTGCAGGAGTCTTGGCCTTCTTTCCCACCAGCACATAAGAACCCAGCGTGTAATTTAAAGTAACGGCCCAGCCTAGTTCTGCGCAGCTTTTCCTGACATTCTGCGTGCCCTAAAACAGGTACTGATACTTCCTTCATGATCATAGAAAAGCTACCACTTTCTGAAAAAAAAATGAAAAAATAATATAAGTAATATTTTTTTTACATAAAGTAAAATTAAAAAAAAAAAAAAAAAAAAAAAAAAAAATTCTGTTAACATGAGATTGAAACAACGATCAATGTCTACTTTGATTGAAAATGAATTAATTTGCTTTATATTTCTACATCCCTCCAATGTCAATTTTATATTTAATGGAGTTTTGTAAATTGTAATAAATGCCTTGAAATGTTTTGAAGTTAAAAATACAGATGAAAGATTTGTAACACACAAAAAGTATTCATCCTGATGCAAACCATTACGGAATATTGCTCGATGGCGGTAAATTGCTATTTAATCATGATATTCAATTGGCAAAACCTGCTTTAGAGCCAGTAGATTATCGTATTTTGCAACGGGAAATAAGACAATATCTTTAATATTGCAGTATTTTTTAAATTGCATTTTCCTCTCTTTATTTATTTATTTAATTATTTTTCTTTTTTTAAGTCTGAAGGAGTTGTTAGCTCAGAAGGGCTATTAGTCTCGAAACGGGATTTTGCGTTGAATCACTGTAAAAGGCTGATTCTCTTTTCAGATTGTTGCCACACCAAATATTATCGCTTTATATTATATTAAACGAAATTAAATAAAGGAGAATGTGTATGATTGTAGCTATGTTTCTCGCAATGTGAAAAAACGACGGTACCTAGAGGCATCAAATTTTGATTAACGTAATCCTCCACCCGAACATGGGCACTTGGAAGCCCGAATTTTTTATTTCGAATTTGCTTTATTATCTATTTTACGGATTTGTAATTAATATTCTCAACGATTTCAGAGTGAGAACTGGCAACACTGTACACCCACACACACTAAAGAACATTTTTATCTCCAGCTCGCGAGACTGTCTATCGGAAATCCTGAAGATATGCTGTTTTTAAATATTTTGTGATATTGCTGTTAAATTGAATTTTTATGCTTTAAGTGCAAAGAACATGATAGTTAATAAGTAGAGATAATAAACAGAACGTTAAAAAAAGCCTCTTTGGGCGTAATTATAAATTCTGAAAGCTTTCAGATTCCCTCTCTTATCTATCGCTCTTTTGAAGAGGGGGGGACGAAATCTCAAGTTTTGCTGCATACATTATAATGTTGGACGGTAGGAATAATATGGAGAATAACAGAACTTGATTTACGCAAGATCAGTCTGTGCCAAGATGAAATCAGGTTTCGGCAACCAATTTTTTATCCCAAATCAATTGTAAATCGATTAACAGAACAGAGTTTAAAAATATGGTTTTAAATTGGTTTCTCTTTAATGTTTCAGTGAAATGACTGGATTCCTATATTTGCTGCTTGTTTTAGGTGCTCAAAGTGTAACGTCAGAAATGAATCCTACAATGGATGCACTTTTGGTTTTCTTTAATGTGTTTTACGCGATATGACAAACCTTTTTTCTCCATACATCAACAATTACAAATTTAACGTATCTAGCTGGTAACTGATAACTGATAGCAAGCGAGGACATAAAACTGATTCTGTAAATTATCGAACGGCTACAAGAAATTTATTGAAAGTTCAGAAAAGCTAATGCTTATGTAAGGAACTTGTTCTTTACCCGAGGTTATATGTATGTCAGTATGAGGATACTAATAATTGGAAATCTCACTGACTGTCTTAATGAAATCTACTTACTGTAGGCATTGGTGCCCCATCCCGTAACAATACAGTCTTGACCAGTAAAGTCATCCTCATCTCTTGGGAGGCAAGCAGTATCAATGTGGGGTCTGAAGACTACATCACGATTGAGTTTCAGAATTGCAATGTCGTTGAATAGATTATTCGAACGATACTGAGGATGAATCATGATCTCTGATACGTCATAGTCTTCATGAGGAAGAAATTCATCGGTATTTTGTGTGTCCCATTCTCCAAGTCGAACAATTAACGTAGTTTCATTACCTCTGCAATAATAAAATAGTTATTACAGTAAGAAATATTAATAAATATAAGAGGAATAATGCATGGCAATTGATACACTTTGTGTTTCACTAAGTTACACGTTCTATTTTGACTGAAGATAACTCCGATTAGAGTTATTACTATATAGCACTGTTTCCTAAATTATTTAGCCTCGCAACCCATAAGCATACAATTGTCATTTAACTGCGAGCCACATCTGTATAGTTACTTTAGAGGAGAAAGGAACAATTTCTAGAAAAATAATAACTAAGTAATAATAAGTAAAGTAACTATTTATAATCAATAATTAATTACATGTAAAAATATATATGTATAAGCCTGTGCGTTTCGCACGACCCGTCAAAAATTGCCTCCTGTTCCAATGGATAGGTCTTGATCCACACTTTGGGATTTACTGTAACCATCAGATAGATCAACTTTAACACAATCAGGTGGGTCAGTAAATTGGTATTATCTTAATAAATTTCGGGATGATACGCAATTGGCTTTCACAGTATAACCTATCAGGAAACTTTACGAAACTTTTGATCAACAGTCCACGGTCTAAGGGAAAATGTATATGAGCCATTTCCCTTAGAAACTTCTCTACGAATGCATCCCTCCCCTTAGACAGATAGCCTTCATGTGCTTTGCCATAACTCAACACACCAACACCAACACCGGCAGGACAAATACAAGATATCCACGGATTATTCTCCAAATTCAGTCTCTCTGTCAAACTCGAAACTCATCGATTTTTTCCATCTTATAAGAGCACTAAAAACCAACTCTAAACAAAAAGCTGTTGAATAGCCGTACTACTGCACGCATTTAGTTAGCTTTCAGCAATATTCTGATAACGCTAGGCATTTTTAATGGTTCAAACAGTTCATAACACAGCGATACAGAGCTCCTCATACTGATGACAACATTCTTTGAATTGAATACATATTGTTACGAAATGTACAGGCACGGTAAGATGGCTTTCCCGTAAAGCAGTTTAGGGTTGCCATAAAATGGCAAAATAAGGAAGGGTTTCCATATTTGGCCAGAAATCACCCATTTGGCGACAAAATTGGCGATATGCCATGGACGGATGGAGAACCGTCTTGAACGAATTCTTACCGGTTTAGCCCAGAATGTTCTCGAACACAAGCCGAAAGCTATATAAACCCTACTGGTTCGCAGTCAGTTAGAGAGTGTGCCTCGTCTAAAGGGCGAGTGCGAGATAAGTTAGTATCGAGTTAGTGTCTCGTCTAGCGAGTCCCTGCGGAGTCGATCGAGTTGGCAGCCGGCAGCGAGTGCCGAGTGGGTCGTCGAGTGCACAGAAGTCTCTCAGTGGATCGTAGAGAGAGCGTGTTGAGCTCCAGGAACGACTGAACCGAAGAGTCGGGAGCTGTGCTCTGCGTGTCGTCGAGTGCATATCGCGAGTTGTAGCGTGGAGGGTCTCGAAAGTACGTGTAGTTCCAAGAACGACCGAGCAGACTCGGAGCTGTACTCTAGTGCTTTGCAGTAAAGCTGTCTCCATCGTTGTAGCCTGATAGTGTGAAGGCTGTGTGGCTGAATGTTCCAGCGTATTTATAGTAGATCTTCGACGACTGTAAAACGTGGAGCTGTCCTGATTAATATTGGTAAATAAAGGGTGTTTCGATAATTCATCAAGTGTCGTCGTTATTCACTTCAAATCTACGAACACCGTACGGAAGAAAAAAAAACGTAACAACTGGTGTCAGAAGAAAAATAACGCAACGATATAATTAGATACATAATACGAAACACTCCAGGCTCATGATTATAACGCGGTGTGCCTTCGTTCACTTGGCCCGAAGAATATCACGAATTTAAAAGAAGCAGTGTGTCGAAATCATTTCAAAGATATTTTGTTTCTTCTAAGATCCTTAATATATTGCACTTTTTAAAGCAATAAATTTTAAAATTTTATGGCTGTAATGCATTCGTAAAGTACAGCACTTGAGGAATTAATGCTATGTATTTAATTCGAAGTAAAGCAAGAAAGTTTTCTTTCTCCTCTTCTCCTCCCTCGGATTTCAGTATCTAAAATATTAAATTGTGTAATGAGATTTAAAGCATTGGAAAACCGCTTATGTAATTTTATAGGAAGCGAATCACGTTCTCATTTCTAAAAACAGAACTGAACTTGAGTCTTTTATCAAAAAGAAGTCTATACGTTTCATTCTGAGAATAAAATGTAATTGAGAAAAATTGGAAATGGGGAAAATTACCGGAGAATTTTGTAAATTCAATGCCTAAATGTTTCCAAGTTATTACTGACTCAAAAATAATATTGCAGACAATCACATGCACGAAAATAATGTGAATGTACTTACAAAAATTCCGAAACGCAATGAGCAACTGTAAGAACATGCCTCTCATCAATGAGAGTTCCCCCACATTTGAATATAAATTCTCCATTGTCCTTCTTTAAAACTGCTGCCTGTAAGGAAAAGTACACATGAGTGGTGTGAAGTTTGGAAAAATAAAAACTATTTTTATTGAGTTGAGACTCTGTTACTTTCTTTGAAATTCTCATTGTGGATAAATTTTTCTATTTTTATCAAAATTTCCGAAATTTCGTAAAGTTTTTATTATTTTTTAACAATTAACTTTTTGTTTTCTTTTATTGGCTCTTGCTCATTCTAAGCGAGAAATAAATATTTTTTCACACTACGGGTTCATGTAGATCTCCTTAAATAACTCCGCCAGATGAACAGGGAACCACTAATCTTTACCGAGACAAAGAACGGCTCATGCACTAAAATAAATATAGAGGTAGGACAAAATTCTTAATGCGCAAGGAATGTTGCAGATCAACAAAATCTCCCGCGGAGCTAAGTCTAATAAGCTCTAAGCGAGCTGTTCATTAGCAAAACAATCGCAGATTCTGAACTAACTGATCGATTGATTGATTGACAGCCAGGAACAGCCTTCTATGTCTAAGACAACTCAGGGAAAAGAGGGTAAACATTTCGAGAACTTTCTAGAAAACTCGCTCTTCGTGCTTCAAAAACGCGTTTACGGAAAAATTTCCAGAATATCGTCAAGCTGAGAAAATTTTTTACCTTACTTTGTTATAAAAGCGAACATATGTTAAAAATTGGATGATTAATTTCATTTCAAAATTTTTATACTGAAGCATAGCTTCCAATTTCCTTAGCAGGAAGAAAAAAATAAGTTTACTATCTGAAAATTTTGCATTCCAGTCTAATACCTCAAATATTTTAGCACTAAAATTTCAAAAAGTTTTAAAAAAATTATAAATACTTTTAAAAATTGGTGAAATTTTAAATATTGCAATCTGATCTTTTTTCAGTTTAATTAAGACAGTTACGATTAGCCTAGTAGTTTAAGAATTAATTCTCCAACAATGAAATAAGGAACATAAAATTATATACATAAAAGGAGCTGTAAAAAACAACAAAGCTTTATAGCTGAAAAAAAATTGCGTTGATATTATTTCATCACAAATTATCACTATAGATATATGCCCTTATTTAATAAAGAAAGGATTTAATTATTCAAGACGTAGGTACGTACTTATTTGACTTCATTGCTTGCTTATGGAGCTTTCAGCATAAATTTCCTTCAAATGGAAGTATTATCTTGTTAGGACACACAGTTCGCTTAGATAGATAATTATCTCTTTAAGGTGTTAAAAAAAATAAGAGATTTTAAAACCTAATACAAATCTCACAATTGCGTATATTGCGTCATCTAAATATTTTTGTTATAGCTTTCATACTATTTAGGAGCCGTAGTTAGGATTTCCAGCGCTCGGTCTGTGTGCCAGGAATGGAAAACATTTCGTTCTAAAATTTCGTAATATCAATTTGGCGCTCCCTGGATGCTGCGTCTGAGGACAGATGTCCCCCTTTCCCCACCCTAGCTATGCCACTGATATTATATTTTTAGTCTATGTTTCTCTCTTCACTCGGCACTGGCAACACCTTCTAGATAGTTCGAGACGGTGTTGGCATTGTTGGCTAAACGGTTATAAGATTGCTGAACAATGGTCATTTGTCCTGAGTTTGGCTTCCGGGGCTGACAATATCAGGCTTCCTTGGTTTTCCACATATTTAATAGTGAATACATTACACATAAGAAAAGGTTCTTCCTCAGAAACTCTCTTCACGAAGATATTCCTCCAAAGGCAAATAACCCTTAAATAATCAAGGTACTTCCAGTATATATGAATGATTTTCATGTTTGGATGTAAATATTAACCAGTCTGTTTAGCACATTTCTGACAGATATAACGAACTTTTCGGTTCATGATTTTTATTGACGAGAACAAAGTATAAATATTAACACGTAATATTATTTGTTGTAAAAATCATACCTGCCATGGCCATTCTCCGAACTCTGCTTCACCTGTCGCATGGGGAGAAAGAATTCTGCCATTGATACCTCCTGGATTTCTGGTGCCACACCTATGTTCATACGGGCGACTCGTGGATGATTCTGGGTTACGACAGCAGACATGATAGGGGCCACATTCAGGAGGAACATATTTTTCATCCTAGTCGGGGGAAAAAGTAAACACTGAAAAGGAATATATAAAATAAATTCGGTTCGCAAATGCAAGCACTAGAAATGAAAATAAAGTTCTTCAGTTGGACGGCGGCTTGATAGTTCTTTTAATGCAATTTATTGCATGAGATATAAACTGCTCAAAACAATTAAAGGATATTGTAAGTTTTATATAAAATAAAGATATAAGCGAATTTTTTTTTGCCGAAAATGGAAGAAGAGAATCACTAACGCAAATTTTTCTGATTTTCAAACTGCTAATTTTGAGTTCGATGTCAAAAACGTCGCTTCAGCGTCAGCGAATGAAATTTGACTTTCAACTGAATAAGACAATGAAGACAAGGATGATCGGCATTCAGTGACTGCTTTGTTTCGATGGGTACGATTGTAATGTTGCGCGCTTCCAACCTGCACGCAACAATAGTGGTGACTGCTATGAACTGGAAAGTATACAAAGTCTTGAGAAGGGTTTAAATCCCTTTTTATTCAACTTTAGAAATTACAATGCGTGCTCTTGACGCTCACAAACTACGCCGACCCGGCGGTAAAATAAAAAATAAGAAACTAAAAAAAGAATAATAACAAGTGACTAACTACGAGGCTCTCTAAACGTAACTAACCTCAACCGCGTTCTAAGATACCGCTGATAATTCAGCAAACTTCTGAATATTACGTTGAAAGATTAACAATCTGCCGAGGCAAGCACACAGGCCGAAACGCGTGGTTCTTCAATTTCTAACTAGCCACCTCCACGCTCGTGAAGCAAGAAAGCACACTTTCGAACTCGTTTCCCTTCTATTTAACTCAGATTACTTCCGCTGACAATTTGAATCCTTGCGCGTTCTACTAAAATTTACATACTCTGGCATTGGCAATTCCAGGGGAAAGTAAGGCTTGACAGGAAAGATAGTTTAAACTTAAAATAAATGTTAGTTAAAATAAATATAAACCCTACATTTGCCGCTGCCAGAATTTGGTAAACTTGGAAGCAGGTCCTAGAAACGACCTGTTGAAAAGTTTCCACAATTCTGAACTAAATTTTAAGAGCCTCGTTTACATAAAAAAAACTGTTTTTCACAAAAGGTAGAATAAATTTCTGTAGATACTTATTTAACTCTCTCTTCTTACAGCAACCTTTCCTGGACTTCAGCAATCAATCTGTTCTCTTCCTTCCAGCATCTGGAAGGAATAAGTATCAGTATCTTTCTAAATACATTATAATTTACACTTTCTTGACACTGAATAAGTTTTTGTTTTTGAACGATTTATTTTCCTTAGTTACTGCTTAATTCACATTCATTCAAGTATTCAAACATGAATTTAACTTTACCCTGGCTCTCCACCATGTGTGGTGTCAAACGGGAATATTCGTGTTTTAGTATTGCAACACTTCCCCTAACCACAATGATTTGTTAGAATTCAACGACCAAATAGACACACCTTACTCGACATTCTACAACTCGATGAGGCTATTTAACATTCTTAAAATTCAAGTGTAGGTGGAGAACCCTACAAAACACATTCATTCTAACTTCCCCCTCATTCATCTTTAGACATGCAGGCTTTCGCTCTAAAGCATGATTTTATCTACAGTTTAATACTTAAATTTGAATTCATTGCTTTTGAGCATTTACTTTTAGCATCTAAAATTTTATGCTTCTAGACTAAATTCTACTTTTACATAACTTTCAAGTATTTACGTATATTTACAAAATTCTAATACATATGATTTTTACAATTTACCATAAAATGAATAAGAGAAAAATAAATTTTTACTTTACTCATTCTTCGCCAAGCTGGCGGCACTGAAACTAAAGTTTCTTAATACAAGAATACGAAGTTATTTTTATCTTCGGCCAAATTTTGGCTTTAACATAACAGAATTAGTCTTTCGACCAACAGAAACTGCTTGTTCTTAGATTTTATACTTAACGAAAATAATACTTTGGCCTTAGCTAAATAAAGTAAAAATAAAACTAAGTCTCAACCGAGACACATTGACTTCCGTCAAAACATAGAACTTCGTATTTACGCATAACATTTCGGAACAAAAGAAAAAAAAATTTATAGAAGATTTTAACTTATCTTTGAGTTTTCGATGATTGGAACTCCGACATCCTCTTCTGGCAGAACTGCTCCCACGTTATAGGTTTCATCGACGTCAGTCGTTCTCCTTAGTGTCCTTCGAGTGTCGTCCACGTTGCTTTTTCTTTTTCGCCCTCTGCATGCTGGCCTCTTGGAGTGGTAGTCGTCGGGTTGCTGTCTTTTCCGTTTTGCCCCTGGACGGCTGGTCTTGGCGTCCTCCGGTCTGGAATCGTGCTTGAATTTCTTCTGTTGGTGGTGGTCTTTTCGTTCCTCCTGCTGTCTTTTCGTTCTCGGGAACGGCGGCCTTGTTTGCACCTGACTCTCTGGCCCTGGAAGCGTTCTCCTCGATGTAGAATTTCTACTGCGATACGTTGTAAGTGGTGTTTTCCTCTTTACCAAAGGTTTCTTTACGCGGCGGCTTTGCTTTCTTGTATTTCTTAAATGCTGGAGTCTGAAAGTTTTCATTTCTTCTTTTCGGTACCGTCGCATGACTTGTAGAAGGGCTAGGTTTCTCTTCTTGGGTGGTGGACGTTACTTCTGGACCTTCTACTTCTTTTACGCTTGAGTCCTGCAAGAAACTTTTAAGGATTTCAAAATCATTTTGATTATAATATTTTTTCACCTGGTCGGGACTTGCTTTACAGATTTCCCCTCTCTCGTTCTTAAGGTACAATACGACTCCCTTGATTTCCTGAATTACATAGGGGCCTTCAAATTTTGGAGCTAACTTTGCAGTAAAATTGTCTGGGGCACTTGATAAAGAAAATTTCCGCTTCAACACTTTATCCCCAACTTTAAAATCTGCTTCACGGCGTTTTCTATCATAGTATAATTTTTGCCTATTTCTTGCCGTATCCGAGCTTTTAACCGCCTGGTCAATAAGTGTTTTGCACATCTTTCTGTTTAAATTCTTGCTCTCTTTGTTGCACAAAGAATAATTTATCTAATGGCGTAATTAACTTCCGTCCTCCTAAAAATAATTCTGCTGGGGTTTTTCCCGTAGTATCGTGATTTGCCGTTCTTAAAGCATAAGCTAACTCATTTATGTAGCCATCCCAGCGCTTGTGATGTGTGCTAACATAACTAACTGCGAATTATTTTTACAATGTTTTTATTAACTCTTTCTGCTATGTTTGCCTGTGGTCTATACGGAACCATTTTGATATGGCGTATGCCAAGTCCAGTGCATATGTTTTCAAATATTTGGCTAACGAATTGTTTACCGTTATCGCTAATGACTTTTATCGGTGCACCGTATTTTAAAATGTATCTGTGTAAGAATGCATCTGCGACTGTTTTGGCTGACGCGCGTTTAAGTGGAACAATTTCTGTCCATTTTGAAAAATGATCTACAATTACTAAAAGAAAACGATTTTTATTTAACTCACTCTGGGGGAAAGGACCAAGAAGATCTATGCCTAAAATTTCATTCGGAAATGTAGCGCGAATGCTATTTAAGTACCCGGCCGGGCTGTAATTAATATCATTTATTAACTGACATTGATTGCAGGACCTGACATACGCAGTTACTATTTTGTATAATTGCGGGAAATATACCGCCTCGCGTACCCTTTTTAAAGTCTTTCTGACCCCTAAATGACCCGCTGTTTTCGCGTCGTGTAATTCCTTCAAAATGCTTAATCGAAGCGAGGCTGGGATGACTGGTTTGTACTCGAGATTTTCGTTTGTTGTTTTCGTATAAAATAATAAATTATCTATTATTTCATAGTTTTCTGCTCTATTTCTTATCGCATCGATATCTGTGTGCTCAAAGCTTTCGGGGTCTTTCAAATATGCATAGATACTTCCAAATTCAGGATCAGCTTTCAATTCAGCAATAATTGTATCTCTAGAATCTAAAATTTTTGAAGTCAACACAGCGCATTTAAGTTCATTTCCTTCATCGTCCAGTTTTATACGAGAAAGTGCGTCAGCTACATTGTTTTCCTTACCCGGTTTATATTTAATTATGAGATTATATTCTTGGAGTTTTAAAGCCCATCTTATTAACCTGGGCGTTAGGTTTTTCCCCGAGTAAAGTCTACCAACAGCCGCATGATGATCCGAAAAGACTGTTACTGGCGCTTTGCCGAAATAAACTCGAAATTTGTGTACAGCCATTAATACGGCTAATGTTTCTCTCTCTCTGTAGCTGTATAATTCCTTTGTGTATGATTCAACGTTTTACTAAAAAATGCCAAAGGATGGCCATTTTGCATAAGAACCGCACCCACAGCATAGTCCGACGCATCTGCTGCAATTTCCAGGTTTTCGTCCCCCTCCGGGAATTTCAAAACAGGGGCATTGATGAGCGCTTCTTTTAACCTTTCAAATGCGGTATTTGCTTCTGCTGTCCACGTGAATTTACTTTTCTTTCTTTTAATTACTAACAAGGGTTCAACAATATTAGCAAAATCTTTTATGAATGACCGATAGTATAAGAACATAACCCAAGGAAAGAAGAAAGTTTCTTGGCGGTGTTGGGAGGTGGGTGGGAAATTCTTGATTGCTTTTATTTTTTGAATCTTGAGTTTCTATACCCTTTTGCGAAATTTTATAACCCAGATATTTAAGTTCTTTAGTTGCGAACTTGCATTTTGAGGCGTTAATTGTAAGACCGGCCTCTTTTAATAATTTAAAAACTTCTTCTAGATCTTTAATATGTTGTTCCAACGTACTACTCGTTTATAATTATATCATCTAGATAGATTAAAGTCGATTTTCCTAGGACAGGCTTTAGAACAATGTCCATAGCTCTCTGGAATGTTGATGGGGCCCCACACAACCCAAAGGGCATGCGTAAAAAATGCATAAGTGCCCGATTTTGTTATAAACGCGGTTTTATGTATGTCTTCGGGTCTCATAGCTATTTGATAGTAGCCAGACGTTAAGTCCAAAGTAGTC